TTCTTTCTAGATACAAACTTTGTGATACACAGAATTTCTACAGTTACTATCGTTCGCTTGATTCAATTATCTATATGTATCTATCTATCTTCCGCTGGCTTTCTTTGCCAGGCTTATATACTAAGAAAGAGGGCATCTCGAACACACTAGGGTTGCCGGGCAAATTCATGATTCTTCGAGAAACTCTAGCGCGCATGCTATCAGCGTCACGTGACTTCCGCTGTCGTAACAGTATGTATATATTATGTTGTTATTTTTCGACTGACACAGAACTACAAGGAAATTAAAACTATTCAAGTTTAAATAAAAACAAACAAACAACATTATACGTCAGATTTCATTGAATATTGTTAAATATAAAACTACACTATGAGGTATCGAAACTCGATTTTTAGCATCATAAGCCCTCATACGTATCCCTGAGTCACCGGGAGTGAAGCCTACGATAGGACTTTGGCAGATACAAGATGACTGAGTCTAAAATCAAGTAACATGAAGCAAGAAATGCCTTAATATTTGTGAAAAACCTTTTAGAGTTATTAATCATGGCTGATAAAATAAGTTGTCTTTTGTTGAATTACAGAAAACGTTTATGTTGAAAAAAATTAGACTAAATTATTGGAAGGTTTCAAAAGAGAGCCATAAAATGGACTAAGTATTACGTGACGCTAAACTTTTCTAGTTTCATCTTCAACGTATAAATTTATGTTTAAATCATCAGTTAAAAGCTTATTTACTCGCTAGTCTGACGTAAATTACCACATGGTAATATAGCAGTGTGTCGTCACAAATGTAAATTGTGGCGCTAGGGCAAGATATATGGTAATTACATATATGTTTAATGGCGAATTTCTGACAATTTGTCAGTGCAATACCGTTTCGGGTAGTATTGTGACTGAATGGTACGTATGTTACAGTTCATTCATAGGAAGGGTATTTGTAAAATGATGCAGACAAAACTCGCGCGTACAGATCGTTTAGGACAGTAGTGGCCTTTGTAGACACGATTCAAGTCTATTCATAGCAAAATACAAGTTGTGTTTACCATGGTAATGAAGCTGGACATATCTCCCGATACCACTAATAAGGATTCGAAGTTGACAAAGGTTCGAAGATTCTAGCACCACTTCGACGTCAATGGCTGTTTTAAAAATAAAGATAGCTAAAAAATATTGGAATTACAACAGTTAATTCTCACTGTATATCATCAATGGACCTTTGAATCTTTGGTTTCCTTAAAAATGATCTGGAAATCAACATCCATGGAAAGTTTGTTAAGATGTGTGGTCTGAAATTGGTCTGACTATCCTTTGATGAAGCTTGTTACAATGGACATTGTCGTCTTAGATAATCGTCCGTAAGGATGGCCATCAAATTGACCCTGATGATGATGATGGGAGATGTAGTTCCAACAAAAGCATGGAACCAGAACGTTATTTTTATAGAGTCGATTAAATCCCTGCATTTTTCAGTCAAAATATACTTTAAAGCACAGAGTATTAAAATTTAAAACACAAATTCTGGAAATAAAGTTTCATAAATCGATTGTTTGTTTGTTTTTGAATTTCGCGCAAAGCTGCACGAGGGCTATCTGCGCTAGCCGTCCCTAATTTAGCAGCGTAAGACTAGAGGGAAGGCAGTTAGTCATCACCACCCACCGCCAGCTCTTGGGCTACTCTTTTACCAACGAATAGTGGGATTGACCGTCACATTATAACGCCCCCACGGCTGAAAGGGCGAGCATGTTTGGTGGGAGAGGGATTCGAACCCGCGACCCTCAGATTGGGAGACGAGTGCCTTTACCACCTGGCCATGCCGGGCCCTCATAAATCGAAGGCCAAGCTTAGGATTGCTATAGACATTTTAAAGTAATTGCAAATAAAAACAAACAAAAAAAAATTTCTACCATGATGTTATGAATAATGTTTCGGAAAGCTTGACAAGTGATTAAAAAAAACAATAACTCTCTTTGGTTTGATAGAAATATAAAAAGAAAAATATTTTTTATTTATATGTTTTTGTCATTTTCCTTTCGTAAACTTGTATTTTAGGCTACATATTTTTGAGTTCTTATTACTTTTCTGATCATTTAAACTAGTAGTAATGATTTTAGGTGTGGTGGATTTGTGAAATATACTAATTATTTCTGTTCTTCTAGTTTAAAAAGGTGAAATTTTTTTGTTTACCAGAACAAAATTTTTATTTTACATTTACACAAATTTCTCGCACCTGCAGATAACATGTGCTGATCTTGTTATTGTACTAGTTATACAGTACTAAGGATCACCCCATTGATACGTCTGACCTTGTTATTGTACTAGTTATACAGTACTAAGAATCACCCCTTGATATTTCTGGATTTTTCCACGGAAGTGACGCCAGAGAATTTTCTAGATTTGTACTAATATCTTCTCGAGCAGCACTGATTGTGTAGAGATATAAAAATAGTAATCGTCCCTGCTAATGTGATGACAAGGTGACGTGAGTGACAAATGCACCTTGAGGGAGTTCACCATATTTTCAAAATATATAGTAGTTGATTATATGAGGTTAAAGTCTTATCCATAACGTCTTCTGACAGAGACCATTTAATACTCAGAAAGAAGTATAACTGGTTTTCATCTTCTGCACATTACTTCATCTTCTTTGATTGGATTTTTGTTTGCCTACAGTTAAATATAGTGATTATGTTTTTTGTTTTTGTTAAATCTGTTGTCTAGTATCCTTCCTTAGTTTAGTTAGATCAGAATTTAGTTTAACTATATATAATACATCGTGTGTTAAAGCTTTAGTTAGAATGTGTGCTGCGAAGGTAGAATCTCGCAAGAAAGCAGTTTACATATTAATTATGTAATGCCTTATGTAATGGTAGAAGTTAGAACTCCATTGAAAACGAATCATGCAATAAATTCTTGAATGACTTACGAGCAATGAATAACCTTAGAAGATTGCCGAGGTCAAGGGTATGAGAATGATGCAAGCATGAGAGGTCAACACAAGTTGTGGAATTTACAGTGTTGCAACTAAATAAAAGGTAGTTTTTCATTCCTTGTGGCCTTTGTTCTTTAAATCTTTTACAATGCCATATTACAAATATTTGCCATGCTTCAAGATCTATTTGTATATTCCTTTGTGCCATTACTTACTAGATAGGCTATTTTGGAGTCCTCTATAAATATCACTCTCAACCCTTTTCCCGACACTAGATGGGAGTGTAAATGCTACAAGGTTTGTTGGAAACATTATACAGTCTTCTCGCCCTTCAGTATTACATCTCTCATACCCATTATTTTAAACTAAATCCGAGAACCTCCTGTTATTTGTGAGATCTAATGGGGTGTGAATTTATTATTATTTAACAAGAATACTGGAGAGTAAGTTATATCGTTATGTAGTGACCGGCATTTGGCTTATTTAATAATGTGGAATAGTAGACATTTTATATAATCATTTTAATTTATTTTGTTTTACTGTTTTTAAGGAAACTTCAGAGCTATGCATTTTCATCACTGAAGAACCTTCAGCCGAGATGTAGAGACAAACTCTGGCACCAGATCAAGCCTGAAGGACTCAATACGAGTCCAAAGGAATGAGTAATACTATCCAGTAGTCCACTAAATGGGTCTAGAGCTAATTTGAATTTACTGGTATAATTTTAAGTCTTGTTTTTATGTCGAATTAAAGCTTAGTATATAAATTTAATTGAAAGATTTAGGCCTAATTAGTAGTTCTTCATGTTACTATTGAATGTTTGGACTTGGCTTTTCAAGCAAGTCTAGAAAACCTGTGAAACAGTGTCGTTGTCAAGGGAATAAACAATGTTTGATAGGACTTGGCCTTTCAAGCAAGTCTAGAAAACCTGTGAAACAGTGTCGTTGTAAAGGGAATAAACAATGTTTGTTAGGACTTGGCCTTTCAAACAAGTCTAGAAAACCTGTGAAACAGTGTCGTTGTAAAGGGAATAAACGATGTTTGTTAGAACTTGGCCTTTCAAGCAAGTCTAGAAAACCTGTGAAACAGTGTCGTTGTAAAGGGAATAAACGATGTTTGTTAGGACTTGGACTTTCAAACAAGTCTAGAAAACCTGTGAAACAGTGTCGTTGTAAAGGGAATAAACGATGTTTGTTAGAACTTGGCCTTTCAAGCAAGTCTAGAAAACCTGTGAATACAGTGTCGTTGTAAAGGGAATAAACAATGTTTGTTAGGACTTGGCCTTTAAATCAAGTCTAGAAACCTGTGAATCAGTGTCTTTGTCAAGTGAATATACACCACTTACCTTAAGAGTAAAGTATTTTGGATCATTATTGCGGAAGTCTTGTACAGGCATTGAACACACTTTTGATAGTTATAAAATAAAATAACTCAACGTAAACACAAAGTTCTTTAAGTTAATCCACTATATATCACAATATCAACAAATCAGGAACGAAAACTGAATTTGATTTATCTCTGAATTTAAAGTTGATTTTAAACTTTAATTTTATAATATATTGCCGGATTCTTGGTCTCTGGTTTATTGGGCTGGTGTTACTCCTTGTATAAAGAGGAGTAATATATATAATATATAATGACTTACTTCGTTTACAGCACTTTATATAATTTTTTCTCAGCTAGAATTTTGAATTACTTTAACACTTTCTTCTCATAACTTTCAATACTGAAGGTATAGTGACGTAGTAAATATGTAAAAAAAGCATCAATATCACAGAGAAGAAACAAAGACTATGTAGAGCATTAAAACACACTTCAGATGACTGAATTAACAGAATATGCTTTTAACATCCTGGGCTTGGTATAACCTGATGGTTAGGGCGCTCGATGCAGAAGAAAGAAGAACAAGAAATTCAAACTTTTTGCTATGGTATTTACAGACATTCCCACAACTTGTGGCTCAGTCATTACATCTATCTATCTTTATATATACTACTAAAACTCTGAGATTGTTTGTTTGCTTGTTTGTAATTGAATACAGCAAAAACGGTACACAATAGCGCCATATTTGTAAAGAAATGACAATAGAAATGATAATAGAAACGGAATAAAACAAGTTTCGTTAAAATCGGGCCACGGGTTACCGAGTTAGCCTCGTTTTTCGGGTCACTTTTAGGAAAAGTTCTAGATGAATTTAGGTACACTAGATGGCGCCACATATCGATTTATCTATCTATCTGTTCGTTTTCCACCTGATGAATCATTTTAAAATATTTTCTACACAACAATATATGTACAACAGAAATTAAATGATGAGATGAAAATGTGTTATAACGGCGCGTAGAAAGAACAACAATGAAATGGACCTACAATCTTATTGACTATTTGCAAATAGTAACTATGGATACGAGGTAATAAGATAAAAATCAAGTCGAGAACAACAACAAAATTTTATAAACGAAAACCTCTCGCCGAGTACTGGCTATTATATTATTTCCCTGTCAATGTTGCCATCTTCATTAAAAGGCCTAAGATGACAAAAACAAGATCTTGAAGAATTCCTCAATAATGTGCCTTCAACAATCAAATATGTTTTCTTGAATTATGAATAATACGAATAGATTGAAATATTTGATTAAATTATCTCAAAATAAGCCTTCATTTTAGTGCAATATTGAAATTAGCTTGAATTCTTCATACCCTCTGAATAGTGGTTGACCCAACGGGTCACGGTGGTCTAGTTTATACTAAAATCACTTTCCTGTTATGCATCCGTGTTTCTCATAAACTTTAAGTAACTGAACATAATATAACAAAATGAAAAAGTATCTGAAGACACGTAGAACAACCTGTAAATACTAGAACCTTTACCAGGTGTACAATGTTAGCATTCTATATTTTATGAATTACACATAAGTAGTTCTGTACTGTAGATGCAAATTTTATATACTTCAAATTACAGCCGCCTTATTTTTTGTTATATATATTTTTTTTTAATTTGTTTTCCAGCAAAGATTGTATAAACAGGATAAACCTACATAGTTTTCTCTCAATTTAGTGATCCACGAACTTAAAAGCTTGTGAAATTACGTTTTGGATTTATTAATTTATGTTTTCTAATATTCTAGGTATGCTGCCTTCCAAAGACAAATTATCAACTCCAGAAACTCCTGAGTCACAGATCAGAAAAGGAAATTTTAAGAACACAGGTGTGAAACTATTAATATTCAACACTGCTATACTTTGTTATCAAAATACACACACACACACACAGTGATCAATATGTGTTTGTTTTAATAAACACCATTTTTCTGATATTTTATAGCTTTTTTTTCTTTGTCATATCTAAATTTATGAATCCTAAAGTTAAACCTAAGTTTAAAATTGGGGTAAATGTATGTACAGTAAACCAAAATCTGTTAAATTTAATTTGTGATGGTAAAAGTTGTGTTACAGAAAAAATATGTTCTTTGTCTTAATTGGTGTCAGTTACGTGAAGGCAAATTCCTTGTCAGTTGTCAAAAATGGTATTAATTAATAGTTATAAAAGACAACTAAAAAATAAAACATTTTGTAGCACTGATATAATCATGAAAATGTCCAAAGTCTACCACATTACTACTTTTGATATATAAACAGCAACAAAAAATTATTGTATTTCCACAGTTATACACTTAAAAATGCGTTTTTTTTTGGCAAGAACTCGGGAAAATGCATATTTTAGTACCTATTTCTAAATATTTTCAAAGAGGAATTTGCCCCCAGTTCTCTAGTGCCAGAGTCTTAGTATACTCAAAGATGTTTCTTCTCAGTTTTTTTGAGCCAACTTATAGCCCTGAAGTTAGATAGTCATTAATGAGAATATAGATAGTTAATATGAAACTCCATTTTTTTAAAGTAATTTTGTTGTTGAGCACATTTCATTTTTAATTATTTTTCCTAACTCTTTCAAAACTTATTGAAATTACAGAAGAGTGAGAGTGTTTGTTACGTTGTGATATTATCAGTGTCATGTTAGAATGAGTAATTTTTAGTTTTTCACAATACTCAACTATTTAAAGATTTTTCTTCAATTATATACTGTAAGGTTGTGGTGATCAGATATTAATTGTTCTTATGATTAGTAGTCTGTACAATCAACTATGTTTAATTATTAATTAATCCTAATTTCTTTTTCTACAAGATGCTAATTATAAACTAGCTTATATCTTATATTTTAGCTATTAATCTGCTACTGTACTTGGGGAAGTCCTGAGAAAGACTGTGTTTTGGGCAAGTCCTGAGAAAGACTGTGTTTTTGATGGTAATATTACAGCTGGAATTTGGTCCTGGGTTATCTTCACAGAAAGGCTTGTGTATTATTTACTTCTCTGGTGTTAGCCTCATGAGGATGCCAATTAATTTAGTGTTTGAAGCATTTCTGTCAAGATTGCTCAAGATCAAATCCCAGCTACTACTATCACAAATACTGTCCTTTTCATGACTTCCCTGTGTATGGTAGCAAAGAAATAACCAAATTGTGGGATGTAAACTAGTTAGTAATTAGTATCTAGTAAATAGCAAAAAAAAGAAGAAACTGATTGGTAATTGGACTTAGATGAGTGTATAGGGCACTAACTATGACAGTGGTTCTTTCTTTTTTTTTTTGTAAAGCAATACATATTTTCTACTTGTGTAATTGAAGCGTTAAACATGGCATTTCTGTAGCTCGAGAATCAACTCGGCGCAACACTGATAGAATTTCCACTCGAAGTCGTAGCTCCAGTCCTCATGGTCATTCTTCTAACTCATCTGGGCAGAAACGTAGAAGTGCGACTATTGCTGTTAATGTCACAAAAATAAAACGTCAGAAAACATGAAAAGGTTTATTTTCTCCTTTTTTTTTCCTTAATTGAAGTCACTCTGACCTGACTATGTTTTTTTATATGAATAGAAATATTCACGATTGAAAAAGATGTACTGGTTAACCCTGATAACAGATGTGTTGTTATTGTTTTACATCTTGTGAATTTGGAAGTACCAGAATGACACAATAAATAAATATTTAATTTGAATAAATGAGATCAGTAGTTTATGATGGAAGTTTTCTGGAGAGAATTTGGCTATTTATTGTTAGAAAATCTAATGTTGTATTTCTTTCATATTTTCAAACATAAGCCAAAAATGGTATGTGATTGGATACATTGTTTGTGTGTGTGTGTGTGTGTGTATGTATGTTTGTTGAATACATAAAACGTTAGGTGAAAGATCTGGATGTGCTGTGTGAGCGTAATATAGAAAATGAAATAAAATTGATGTTACCATCAATTGTTATATGCAAACTGAATATGTGAAGCACCAAAATTTGTGAGATTTTTGCCATTAGAATATTAAACTATATAAAAATAAAGATATTTTGGAATTAATGTTGTAGTACAGCTATGTTTTGTGACTTGCAGAATGTTATTTTGGTATTTTCTGTTACCATTTAAAAATGGATTCCTTCAAGGTTTTGTGTTCTAGACCTACAATATTATGACATTATTATGGTATTTCATTATTTTATCTCTCTTAGCAATAATCCAATGTATTTCTTTTTCTCCACAGGTTTTTTCTTTAAGAGTGAGATGGTAGAAGGTACAAAAAAAAAAGATTAAATATTGTATAAAGTTTTGTTAAAAACGAAAACAAATGTGAGGGAAAAATATGAAAAGTTAAGTATTAAGAAAATTTTGAATTTTGGTTTTTCTTGTAAAGTAATGTTAAAGCTTAAGTTTTATATTAAGACAAGATCATTTGGTAACATTGTTACTGCTAATAATGGAGATAAAAATGAAGCAAAATTTTAGTGGACAAAATATTCGTATTGATGTTTGTAATTTTTAGCCTGTGTATTGATAACCGATGTGCGCATACATCACCTTAAGAACAATTTAAAAGAAAAACAATTATATGGTTGGTTTTGAAGAAATCATGTTTTTTATTAAGTTTTTGCACGGGGAATTATTTCGTTCTGAGAGTTTTATTTTTTACAGGTCTGGGCTATCAGTGTTATATCAGCCTTAAACAGAAGCGTGTATTGGTGCCTGTAACTTGTCCGTTTACAGGTTATCTTGAAATTAAGTCACTTAAATTGTTTAACTGTGTGTGTGTGTAAATGTATCAAATTGCCCCTAATTAATGCTCCCTCCCCGGTATTTTTATAAAGCTTACCTTGTGTGACAGCAATAGTAATCTAACATATAATCAACTTTTATTACTGCAATTTTGATTTAAAAAAAAAAAAAATACACGCTTATCAGCATTAAAATCAACAAATCACATGTGGAAAATAGAATCCGGGAACTGCACAAATTATAAAATTATCACACACACCCCTTTACAGCTTGCAACACCTCCGGTGGCATTAATTAGGGGCAATACGGTAAGTTCGAGACATCCTGTATATAACGAACACATGACAATGTACGATTGAGTAGCACAACTCCACTACCGGAGACACTTGATCAAAAATATATAAAAAAATAATGTTCTGAATATTATGCCAATAATATTTTTTTACTATTCTACATTAATATTTGCTAGTACCAGTAAGTTAGTTTTGTAAGAAACTGTATTTTGTTTGATTCGATGTTTATTTCTTGAACATTATGCATTGAAAATACCTGAAAAAAAATTAATGAATGATTAGGAAATTTTTTTTAACATTTATATTGACAAGCTGGAAAATCTTCCGTACTTTTTTTGGATGCATTTAAATATAAGAAGAAAACACAGAATTTAAAGTGTAAAATGTTTATATGTTAGTAATGAATAAAAGTCAACATTTTATCATTCATAAATAACCTTTATAATTGTTAAAACATCAGAACATTTCATAAATATATTATGTTCCAAAAAATTAAACATCCTTGGTAATGTTTTTTTTCTACCAAATTTTAAAGAAGTTTCTGTATCATAAATTATTTTGTTTCTTACAAGATATCAGTTAACTAGAAGCAACTAAAATTTAAAATGATTTGTTTAAATTAAGTATATGAAACAAGTTGCTATCAATTATTTGCTGATACGTTTAGCTACCAAAGCAACATAACAATAAATTTTTTAAACTGATTTTTTACATGTTTTTATACCAATCTTAGTGAGAAACCTGTTGCACCTTTAATTATTATTTCAACTATGATAGTTTTCAGATTCGTTTGTTATCAAATAGAATATGTGTGTTGAATATTAAAAAATAAATAAAAATAAGCAAACAGAGTGATGCACTTTACAGTATTACTATCCCTAGGACCTGTCTTTGTTTTGTTTTAACATAATTAGCATAATATTTTGAAAATTGTGCCCTTTTGATGAACCTTATCAGTTGTAGCACGTAGTTCACTAAGTCTGTTCATCAGTTGGAATGTAACATCACTTTGTTTTTATGCTGTGTTCATATCAGAATATTTACTTTATATTTAGAAGTTGGTTGTCCTTTTATTGTGCTGTATTCTAGCTAAGATAGAAAGAAAAAAAGAGCAAGAAATATAAAATGCTTTGTTGAAAGATTTTTAAATAGTGTATTTACCTAAAAAAATTTAATAGTGATTGTGGTGAGGAAGAAAAAAATATTTGTCTCTACAAAATGGTCTTGACCATAAAAAGGCATTGTACATGCTCCTTGCATCCATACTTGTCATTCCAATGGATTTCTGTGACATTTTATTTTTAGTTACACTTTTATTTGTTTTAAACGAATACGGTCGTACATATTAACAGTGTATTTTCAGTTGTCAACTTTTTCTCACCTTGTTGATATCGCTGATATTTGAAAACAATAAAGATTGTTATGTAAATTGTAAAAACAAAACAAAAAATATTTTATTGGTGATTAAATAAATAGTATAGCCTTGCTATTTGTGCCATCCATCTTACATACTTTATATGCATCAATAATTTAATTAGCTAAGATTTACAAAATGATAAGTCATAATCTTTAATTCGTATAGCTGATTCCTCATGAAGTTTTATCACCATGTTTTGATGCCAAATATTTATAATTCACACTTTGTATTTTTGTTGGTTTGATGTGACTATAAACTGATTTTTTTTGCACTTTTATCCTGAAAGGCACCTAATGTCACACATTAGCTAAATCGCTAAGTCAGAAACCTGCTATGGGTAATTAGTCATCACTACCTACTACTTATTATGTGGCTGTGCCACTATCATAATGCCCCCCCTCCCCCAACTGAGAGCATTTCTGTGGCACTTCATGACTTGAACCGTGGATATTACAATCCGGAGCTTCACCTGACAACAAATTTAAGTGCCATGTTAGTTTATGTCCTTGAAATGTAAAATAAAATTTATGTACTTCACTAGGACATATTTCAACATGAAAAATCACATTTTTATATCAAACATTTTGTAATAGCTCTTTTGTGGTTTGGATTAAATACACATTTGTTAATTTTTTACATCTACACTGTCACTTATACATTTTGGGAAATTGTGCATCTTTAATGTGTGGCAAGATCCAATTTTTTTGTAACCAAATGTTTTTATTTTGCTACCAAGGTTCAGTGTGCACAGTAACTTGATTTGAAATAATCACCCAACTGTCAAGTCAACCTTATGTCCATTATTCCTGGTTGTCTTTAGATAAAATTTTCTCAAACACTTATTTGTGTCATCGGGTTATGAAGGCTTAAAGTTAATTATTTTCAAACAATTTGTGTGTCTGTATACAGTTTTTATTGTCCTGTTGCTTGGAGCACGTGTATGTTTCTCCACTGGGGCTACATTTTAATAAAGAATGGTGCTCTCCTTTGGCATTATTCACAGTCTTGATTCAGTTACTAATATTTATCACCAACTGTTGATACACACTCTTTAGAATAGACCGCATCTCCTCTGTAAAACATTTTCCAGTGCAATAAAATGTTTGCAACATGTTTCTTCTATCTCTGGGGTGACATCTCGGAGCAGTTAAATTGTATTCAAATGGACACGTCCTTGGTGCATTTTTCATTCCAAAAGATGCGTTTTTTGTTGTTGTTTTTTTTATAAACTTCAAGATATTGCAATACACCAAGGTATTCATGGCTTCCTTTACTATCACCAGTAGACTAAATCCAAATCAGATAAAACAGGCCCAAACCATGACAATATTTTCATCATTTTTTTTAGTTGGGATAACAAAGCATTCTATATCTTATGTTTGTAGGAGGCAAATAATACATATATTACTCCCCTGTAGTATGCATTTCTCATCTACAATCTTTACTAAATATCTCATAGTTCGTATGTAGATCATGCTAAATCCAGTTAAGCTCATGTTTTACTTTTTGTAGCATGACAAGTCAAGGAATTTATTTACTGTTTTATGGGATGGTTACATTTGGGGGATATGTTTGGAACTTTTACATGGAGCTGAGATACTTGCACATTCCAATTACTTTTCTCTGATTGGTCTGCTACAGAGAGAATGTGTAGTGTGAATGTCATTTTCCAACTTTTGGGAAGATAGTTTTTTTTGGAGTATGGGAGTTTCAAGACTGACTATGATGTTATCAAATGTTTTCCTACGTGCTGATTATGAACGTTCATTTTCTTACATTCTCAGTGTAATATACATATCACTTCTGTTGAAGTTTTCAAATTATTTTTTCCAACATAATAAGATGATCTAATTTCATTGTAACTCCACTACCATTCTTGTATCTTTCATTTTACCCGTAACAAATCATTTTCCCTTAGCCCATCTGCTTATCATATACACAAGTCTAGATTTTCAGGGCCTGGGTACCTAGAATTTCCACACTGTCAAACCAATCTTGTCCGGCTGAAGCAAGTAACGAGTTGTGGAATTATTTGAACCAGTGATAATTTTCCATTATTGTTCATTTAAATTGCAGTGCTTAAGGCACGAACTGATGCCTTGCATTCATAGCTATTCTGCACAAGTTGTGCAGTGTAATCCATGCATGAAATCCAGGAGTAGGAAACTCCCTACATACTAAAGGATGTGCTGGACTGCATTGTTAAACTGTCATTAAAGTCTTCAATGATCATTTTTATCCCTGGTGGTTAGAGAACTCAACTCACAATCTGAGGCTCATGAAATCAAAACCTCTCTCTGAACTTGCTTGCAATTTCAACCACGAGGATGTTTTAATGTGACAGTCAATCCCACTATTTGTTTTTATAGTGTTGGCAGTGGATGGTGTTGACTAGCTGCCTTTCGTATAGTCTAGCACAGCTAGCTCTGTGTGAAATTCAACTAACAAACAGAGATACCATGAAACACAATCCAAAACCTTACATCAGTATACATAATGACCTTTGGCAGGATAACTGGGATTTCATGTAGCTTTGTACAAAATTCAAAGACAAGCAAACAAACAGTTTTATTTCAGTTGTGATTAATTTGGGGTGACTTGGGCAACATTCCACTTCATCAAGTCTATTCCCTTTAAGTTTTTCACCTTATCATTCATAGTGAATTTAGATAAGAAATAGGCTGGCTCTTATAGCTCTGAAGTTGGACTCACTAACCTCTTTGAAGTTCCTGTATCTTGTGCTGACAGTTCACACCACCTATCTGTGGGGTGTGCTGTACCAGAACTTTTGATCACAGTGTTCATATTTATTTCTAAGAAAAAAAATGTATAATTTAATAATATTTAATACAAGGCATATAAGGAGTATTCTGTAAATGAAGTTTAGACTTTATTTTAGGAAGTATGTAAAGAATCTAAATTTAATTTGCACAATAAAATTATGTTCAATAATTCTTAAATTGAAAGTACTTTTTCCATCGTATTCTGACATTGCAGAAAAATATGTTTAATGCCAACAAACTTGTATGCAATTACTGTGATAAATTTTAACTATGAAAACATTTAATAAAAATCTTAAATGCAGAGGTTGAGTATATTAAGTCAATTTTAGAGCATTGCTAAGTCATTACTATCCACATCCCCACATCTGGTCACACTCTGTCTGACAACAATGTATCTTTACAATATTCCTGCAGCATCATTTCCATTGCATAATGTGTCATGTCCAAATCATACTCTTTCTCCATACAGCTTTCCATAAACCATATAGTGTATGAGGATGATGGTTTTTCAGCATCCATTTCAACAGTCTAATCACTCTAATACCCACAGGCATTACATTTAGAGACTTGACAAGTATGACTTCATATGAAATAGCTTAAATAACTATTTTATTCTCCAGCTGCTTGAGGTATGTGATGGTTGAATGAATAAGTTGTGGAAGCAACTTGTATACAAGTTTGTGTTGCTTTTCTTGACAGATCTCCTTACTGAATATGTTCTATACTATTGACTAGGTCATGTGGAGGACTTTGGCCACTTACCTTTTGGATTCTCACTTGTCACAAGATGCTGCACTTGGCTTAAAGCAGAGGTATGTCTTGTGTAGACCTTTTTGTGGATGGTCCTGATATCCAAACTTGATCCATATTTTTTGTTTTCCAATGGCATAATAGATATCCCCATCTTGGAAATTCCAAGTACCTGATCTGAACACATCTTTATGATCTGAGTGTATGAATATTTTACCTCAGAAAGGGCTGTTACATACCCATCCCAAAAGTAATACATTTTCAGCAGCATCACACTACATTATGAAATGCCAAATAATGTAAAATGTAGTTCTGATATGTTTCGTCCCAATGCAACTTTACATTGGCTATGGTTGCCATGTGACTTTCTGACGTGCATATTCAAAATAATTTCAAATAACATATTCAACCCTATGTATAAATTAGAAAATCAATCCTTTTATTAAAAAACATAATTCATCAATCCAAAAAGCAGCTAAATGATAATGCAGCAAAAAAGTATATAAATATTTAAGAAAATAATGCACAGTAGTTAATTAAAAGTTGAGTTTTATTGACCACTTGACAGTTAATGTTATCCTTTTAATGGATAACTAAAGTATTTGTGTGTTCATGTGTGGTTTTATAAATGAAACATGTTTTAGGCCACCCAGTGGCTTGAAGTGGTGTTTTTAGATACAAATGAACATATTGAAGTGATGTTTTTAGGGACAAATGAACATAAACGTTAGGTTTGCTTTTAGTAAATGTTTCTCTTGTATCCAAAAGATATAAAATTCACCAGTTTTACAACTTACTAGTTAATGTCATCACATCTAAACAAGAAGTAGCATCACCTTTTAATACAAATGTTTTAGAAGTTAGGGTAGAGTCAAGGATGTTTTCTTTGTACATTTGAATAACCTGCTTTTATTTCTGTCAAATGTACAACTCTTTATTTTACATACAACTGATATAGGCAGGTAACAGTTTCTGCTTTAGAGATAATGTTAAAATTTAAAAATTTGTTGATACAAACTCACAAAACCAAAAAGGATACAGAAGGCAAAGATAAAACTCTGCACAAACACAAATTATTCATCAAAAGCAACACCACCAAATTATTCAATAATTATACAAGGTGTACCAGGCACATACAATCAGTCACAGCTGAATTTAAAACATGTAAACCAAATGCTTCCATTGTCAGCATAAAACGTCTGCTCAGTGGCAGCTTTCTTGTTCGAGGACAAGAGGCTGCTGACCTTAGTAAATAGGCTACTTAAGGAATGGTCTACAGATACATTTCAATCAGGTGAAATAACAATACACTTATCAGGAAACAGGCCACAACCCAAATCCTTTGTGATTCGGGGAGTGCACACTACTCCATTGACACAAATCAGATAAAGGATTCACTTACAGAACAAGGCAGTACACAAAAGTAGAGAGAATTATTTCAAAAATAATACAAAAACCTACAAACTTAATAAGAGTGGATACAGATAACACACAAGACATAGCAGGAATAATTAATAATGGCACAGTAAATGTGGTATCAAAAATACCAAGTAGGACAGACTAAAACACCTGATATTGTTATAACACAATGTTACCACTGCCAGAGATTTGGCCATATCTCTGCCATTTGCCAGGCATCCCCGAGATGCGTGGGCTGTGGTGGAGACCACCACATAACACGATTCACAAACGAACATCCAAAATGTTGCAACCAACTACAAGGGATGTGAAAAAATACATATCTTTGAAATTAAAAATCCAAACTTGCAGAAACAAAATATCAGAAAACCACTGTTACCAATATCACAAGTAAAACAAAACACAACATGTGTCTCAATTTTAAAGTAAGCTACAAGATAAAAAGCAGCAAAAGACACAAGGCAACAATACGGAAGATACAAAAATCACTCAAACGAGAGAAAGATATGAATCAACTACAAAACATCAAGCCCAAGAAACGGAACATATAAACATCTCAAGCCCAGGAAACAGAACATAAACATCGATGCCCTGAAAAGCATACTCAGATTTTATTGCAGAATGTTCAAAATCAACTTAAACAAAAAGCTGCATCGACATTCTCATCACAATAATAACATAAAAGATACAAACATACCTACCACAAATTATAACATCTATTACACGATCATTACTAAAAATAATTACATAGTACAACACGTCATCATCCATGGTGCACTTGCCTCCAAGAAACCCAAGATTGAAAACATCACCAAACAAGTGAAACCTGATGTATTAGTTATAAGCAAAGCTTGTTTATTTTAAAATACAAGAATATTCAGTTATAAGAAAAGATAAATAGAAATGACCAAAACAGAGGAATACAAATTTGGTCTAGTGAGTGTATAGCAATTGATGTTTATATTGATAATGCCACGTACATTACGGTAGATATAGGTATCAACCTATTAAGCAATATCCTTTCATACAAACCAAACTCAATCTTCATAGGTGACCTCAAAAGCAAGATAACATGCAAATGGCAGATGTTTACTAGAATTCATAGACAAAGAAATATTGTACTATTTAATGATGCTACCAGTGACATCCTGGATCTTTGTTTGTGTTCATTTCATATGAACCAAAAATTCATTAGTTGTCCAGTTGGACAAGACGTAGATAGTGATCATCTGCCTATTTGGTTTTCGATCTCACTCTCCAACTGAAAAACTAAATTACAGAAGAGCAAGTTAGAATGAATACAGATTTTTTCTAGATAAAAATTTACCAAAAGAGATACCTAATAATGTCAAGAATACATCAGAAATCAATGTATGCTGCCAAACGATCACAGAGTGCCTCACCACAGCTGTGAAACAAGCAATACCCAATCAAGAACTACACACACACACAACTAATAACAATGATAAAAGACAAAAGCTATGTAGACAATACATGCAAAATAGAGATCCTACAATTAAAATGCAAATAAATACACTCAAGAAACAAAATCCAAAAAGAAGTTTGAGAACTAAAACAAGGTAACTGGGATCAATTTTGCTCACAATTAAATGAAACAACCAACCCAAAACAATTCTGGACACATTTAAAATGATTCACAAGTACAGAAAATTCAACCTAACATAACACTTTGGCACACACACAAACTTTAAAAAGGCTGAAACATTTAAAGAACACATACAATACACGTTCTGGACACACCATGAACCAGACATAAATTCACATTTCTTTAATGAAGTGAACAAGAATGTAACGCAAAACATGAATCTGCTAAAATACACAATGACCAAACAAATGATGATACAAACGAAAATCATGTAACATATCAGTAGACAAAAACCATAACAGAAATAGAAGTTAAGCAAGCAATTAAAGCAACAAAAAACAAAGCTCTAGGAGAAGATGACATTCATGTTATCCTCCTCAAAAAAAGGCCCTTGGAGAACGTTTGAACACGTAACAGCCTGCATCTGACCCTCCCAGGTCTTTAAGACCTAAACACCGATGATGATAAAATGTAATAACAATTATTTGTTGTGTTTTATAGTAACAGATGAAATTATTTTTTAGCACATTCATCACTTTATTTTATTGTTTTCTCATTACAAAGTGTTTGTCATGATTGTAAAATTTTGACAAAGCAATCTTCTGTAACACAGAATAGAAATTATAACTATCAGACCCGTCTACTGCAGTAATAATAAATTATTTTTTAATGCTATAAAATATGCTGTTGTTTTTTTATCAAAAATCTCAAAATGACCGTGTCAACCTAACAAAAACATATGTATATATAATATACAAGAATTTACTTTGATCAAGATAAACCAATGATATTATATGCATCTTTGAATGAGTTACATTCAGTTAGGATTGCAGGAGTTCTTCAGTAGATCAGAGGTAAGTTTATGGCTTAAAACACTAAAATCCTATGTTCAATTCTTCAGGGTGGACAGACTGCAGAAAGATTATTGTGTAGCATTGCATTAAGAAAACAAGAATAGGATTGTACGACTAAGTATTTTGATTAAAATATATTCATAATTTATGTTTAAGAATAACACTGTTTATCTATTTTTCTCTATCAAGTTTTATTCAAGCATTTTTCACACTATGGATCTTAACCTGGCTTGTTGTATAAGGGTCATCACATTATTTGTCAGATATCATAAATGAATTTAAGAGCTCCAAATTATGATTATTAACTTGTTCAGGAGGAGTTGTCTAAACAAACAGAAAATTAAACTACCACTATTATTCTAAAATACAGACTTCTAATACTGGACAGTATCTTCGGAATTTATCAACTGCTGGAGGTTTTTCTGACAATTAAATGGAAAAAAAAAATATTAATATTTCAACAATGATTACAAGGTTATCTACAAATTAAAACTTAAATGATCAACTTCATTATATTTAATTATAAAATCTTCAAATTACCATGATTAGAAACCTTATGTATTTATTTATAAATTCTGAACAATGCGTAACATCATTTGTTTATTACTTTATCTCACTCCTTCTGATCATTATCTGGCTGTCGAAAATTGATTTATAGAGCAGAATACTGTTTATCCACTTACCAAGGCATCAGATTCAGCATCCACCAGCTTGTTTTTGTTCAGGAGAGATCTTCTTAGTGATACTTCTGCATTTGTTGTTCTGAGAAAGGAAACAAAATTGACAAGATACTGAAAAAAATTATGAAGATTGATTTTTTTTTTATGAATACCCTGAACAATGTAGATTACTTTATAGTATTTAAAAGAAAGATTTCAGTTTTTGTCTGGGTCATCTCTGAAGGGTATACGTAATGGGAAAACATATAAGCTATGAAATAAAAACTGTTTAGGACTTCACTCTTAACTCATTAAAATCTAAACAGTATATGTCATGCATGCAGGATTGGCGAGTCTTGTATCCAGAGTGTATTCTCCGACTTTATTCTTAACTCATTAAAATCAGAATACACTCTGAATACAAGACTTGCCAATCCTGCAAGCATGATATATACTGTTTACGACTTTATTCTTAACTCATTAAAATCAGAATACACTCTGGATACAAGACTCGCCAATCCTGCATGCATGACATATACTGTTTAATGATAATCACCAAAGATGCTTGCCCTTTCAGCCATCGGGCATTATTATGCTAGTCCATTACACTGCTTGATTAGAGAAGCCCAAGAGCTTGAGGTGGCTGGTGTTGACAACCTGACTTCCCTCTAGTCTATCACTTCCAAATTAGTGTGATGTGTTGATTTACACTTTCATTGAGGATATCTAACTAAATATAGGAACCAACAGCATACTACTTTAGACAGTCCTGAACAGGACTGGAGTTAACTTACCAGGATATTGTATCTAGAGCATAAATAAAACATAATTTGAGATGTCAAACCATGAACAAAAATTAAAATTTCCAAAATCTGTGATTACTGATTTGCCATACTAATAACACATTACATAGGAGTTTGCAGTTTATGACAATTCTATACGGAAAGAATGAAGCAAAAGTAACTATATAGTTGTTTCACTTCAAACTATTGTAATGAAACAAACAGCAATTAAACTGGATTCAATTGTCCTCATGATAACTTCTTTTTAGTACCAACTGTACAATATCTACAGTGTAGTAATTTTTGCCAACCCTGTATATGATTGTGGTAATTCCTACATGTATTAAAGGAACATTTTTATACTTCCAGTTCATATACTTTCCTTTAAATCTATTTAGTGAAAATAAGGCCAAGTCTTTTCCATTTCACAATAATGAATTGGTTTATTTCTTTTATAACACTGCTACAATCCTATGTTCACAAATGTTTTTATTTTCAAATTCAATGGAGCTTTACTCACTAATGGTAAAATGACTACTGTACAAATAAACATACGTGTACAATTTCATGGCTACTTAATAAGAGTAACTGAATATGTGCAATAACTAAATCTGATCCAAAGTTTTCTCTAAAACTAAATACTTCACTGAATGATTGGCACTCTGTGAACAGAAAACTGACTAAATGCTTCACTGATTCTCATATTTATAATGTCGCCTTGTTTCTAGACACTTCACAAAGCCTCTTGATCATTAATATTCCTGAAAATTCTAGGAAAAATTACATGATCATGTAACCTATAGCCAACATCTAAACTAAAACGCTGAAAAAATAATTTACAACACTTGTCATTGGAATTTGGACGTGTTACAACAAATCAGAATTCAAATTGTATTTTCTTATGGTACCAAATTGAAGTTATCTTAACATCACCAGGGTTAGTTGTATGGGGTTGCTCACACCTTTTGATATAATATTACCTATACAACTACCAAAACTATCTAGCTTAACTGCCAGTGCTCCTGCATGAGACTGGTTGAACTAAAAAACTACAACTTTGTTGGTTGGGACTTTGGTCAGTCTGGTGTTGAATCTTAGTTAGATAGGTCAGCTCATGGGTAGTACATTGCCAGTACATATAGTTGACCAGTAACGTAAATATTTAATAGCTCATTAGATTTTAATTTGGTAACCCTTGTAAAATGCGAAATCATAAAAAAAGAGTATTTAAATGTGTCTGTCTGCCAATTTTTCTGTTTTCTACTTGTTTTCGTAACAACATTTCATCTACCAAATCCTTGATTATATTGTTGTGCATGAGGTTGTTTACCAAAACAGTATTATACAACACAGTCAAGTAATGACATAACATTATGTATATTCTAATATTTTTGTTGCTGTTATAAGTATAATTGTTATAAAAGCAGGTCAACTGTAGATGCTTTTTCCAAACAGAAAAGAAAAACAAAAAGACCTTTAAAAAGAAAGGCCTAATCAGCTTTTATACGAACAGTTCACAAACAAATAATAATCTAAATCTGAGCTTTTATTTTAAATTAATTTTTTCAGAAAGTCATGCATGACTACCATTTGACAATTTCTGAAAAGTAATAGATCTAATAAAAAAAAAGTAAACAGTGAATGAAAAACATTTGGACTCTATTTAGAAACAAAAAACAAATTCTGAAGTTTCAAATTATTACTAACTTTTTAATGGGAATTCCAGATTTAAAGGGAAAAACCTTACCTAAAAGAGGGTGATGAACTAAATAACCTAGATCGTCTTTCTCTGCGAGAGGTCGCTAATTTATCCATTAATGTAGAGTTATTTAAAGTAGGAACAATGGATGAATTTAATGCAGAATTCTCTTGGTTTTTCAACACAGCTGCAATAAGAAGTGATACATCTTTATCCGGAGTGTTAAATGTAGATTGTGCTCCCTTTTGGGCTTCTAAAATTTCTATAAAAGATAAGAAGTGATTATTAAAAAAACTGAACTATATTCTCAAAACATACTTCATTTAAATTACTCTACCCATTGCAAATTTCCATAGTCCATAAAGATAAATGCTGACATCTATAACATCATGTTTCCAAAACCAACTGATTGAAACTTTTAGACCTGCTTTAGTCATAGGATTTTAAAACATTATATATATTTAAATCATAGTATCATTTTCTGATTTAAAAAAATAACAATTCAACTCTGTTCTTTTATGTGTTTTCAATAAAACCCATAAATTTACTAAATTTGGGTTAATTAACCTTTTTTTTTGTTTTTAACCATTTCTTTACATGAAAAAGCATTATTAAATATGTAGATGGAATTTTAGATTAAAAGACAAATTCTCCCGATACTTTCTGTATTACAGTGTTCAGAGGGTCAATATTCAAATGTTTCGTTTAAGTTGAGTAAATATCACATCAATAACAAGAAGTTTCAAAACTGTTTCAATCATTACAAAATTATTTTATATTACAAGTTCATGAATTTAAATGTACGTGGAATGAATGCATGATCCTCCAATCTGCTACCATGACATAAATAAAGTCCGACTGTATTAATGATTCAAAAACTTTCTAAGATTAGTTTGGTATATTCTCTCAACAAGAAGATGGTTTTATCACACACAGAGGAACTTTGGCTTTTTATCTTGAAATATCAAAATATCCCAAATTTTTATAAGATTTTGCAGTAATTATAGTTCTGTTCCCTCTGTGCTGGAATATGTACCCACTAAAACCTGATACTGTCTCAACAGAAATGACAGATGTCTTGGAAGGTTTAATGTGTGTGTTAAAGTATCCTGATGAAAAATTGTACTACTACATTTAAATGTCACCTCTTAGCAGGTGATTGAATCTTATCAATAGGAATTACATTCTTACACCTCAAAATATTATTGACCAATTTCATCGTATTACCGTGTCATGTAAAACAGTTTAATGACACAAGCGGTGATTTGTTGCTTTATTTCAGTGGATTTCTACTCCAGTTGTTGACAATAAAATAAACACAAAAAGTAAATGTGAAATGTTTAGCAGTTCAAACTCTGAAGAGAAGTACTTTGAAACTTCATGACCAATATTAAAGAAAAAAGGGCACATCTAATCCATCCCCTGAGACCTCCTGTTGACAACGCTCCATGTCATGGCAATGTCCAACTCACGAACACCCATGTCCTGCATATACCAAACAAAATGGGGGGGGGTCTTAAAGTTCAGAAATTTAGTACAGTCAATACGGAATCCAGCTTTGCATGGCTCATTTTTTATAATAAGGGCACCTTGCTATAGAGGGCAGTTGGAAGGGTGCCTTTAATGTCAAGGTACGTACTATATATATATATATATATATATATACATTTTTTTTTATTTCTACAATCACTAGCTTAATGCTACAGTTTCATTTCATTCACATCGACACTCACCTGTAAAGTCAAAGTTTAGTGTTTCTCTACTATTACTTTCTTCATCTTCAGTATCCACAGGAAGTCCATTAATTCCTGGTGAGTAGGCTATGTTTGGAAAACTACTATCAATGTTATTTTATTAATTTTTGAAGCAAATAACAGACAGTGTAGTCCCAATGTAAAAAGAAAATTACCAATGGATTTTCATTAGGGTGTCTGTCAGCATAACGACATGTAATAACATGTTAAACACTCACAGCAGTATAACTCCATAATTACCTATCATTACCATTCAAATAACATTACATCAATGTATGAAATGTACTCTCTCGTATCATGACCTACGTACTGTTCGCTCATTCCAAATTTCTGTGAGCTGTAGTATTTCAGGGTGTGGCTGCCACTGAATCACCGTTAAAGATATTGGCACAATAATCTCACTGAAGGAGCAAGTTTGTTTATATTTTTGCATGAAAAAACAACATTGTTTTAACCTTATGGTGAGATAGACCCAATTTTTAGCATTACGTTTGTTTATATCTTATCATATTTATGTTTTCTCTTTATTCAAATTTAGTTATGGTTAATATGTCCAAAGTAAAAATTAATATTTGGATTTTATTAATGTAAAGTAATGCATTATTATGGGATAGCATGGTCTAGTGGTTAGTATCTTGGACATTTAATTGAAAGGTTGCCAGTTTGAAGCTTGCTTGCACCTAGCTATTGTGTCCTTGATCAAGACACTTTACCTAAAATTTGCTTCATTTCACCTGTGTGTGTGTAAACTGTGTTAATAGGTTGAGTTTAACCTGTGATGGACTTTCATACCATTCAGAGGGAATGTTTGTTTGTTATTAAGCATAAAACTACACAACAGGCTACATCTGTGCTCTGCTCACCAAAAGTATCAACACCTGATTTTGAGCATTCTAAGCCGTTTCTGCCACTGAAACTGGACTTGAGCGCTGGGGCTTTGTGCCTGAAAGGCACAAAAAGTTTTGATTTTAATGCACTATTAACTTACTTTTCTGTATTGTTAGATTCACAGTCAATGTTTGTTAGTATCAATGTTTACCAGAATAGCATTAATAGGCATTTATGAATTGGGATATTTGAGTATGTTACTCCATATGATATGAAGATCTGATAATAAGTGACAGAAATTTATGTAATATAGCTAGAAAACACAAAGGTAACATTTACCATAGTACCAGGTGAAAAAAAATATCAGTTTTATACTTACATGTGAATAAGAACTGTATAAAATCTTTACTCTCAAATTTTATCTTAGCATACTAATAATTGCTTTTACATCTTTTGAGTTAAGTTCTTCTAAAAGATCTGCCACCACGATCTTTGATAATTTAATCTTTTTTTTTATGCTATACAAAACCAGAACATTATAACCACTGGTATGCTATTAAGACAAAAATCATTGAGGGAAATCTTAAAAAGTTCACCTTTCGTGACAGTAAGTGGATTCACTCCATTCTGGCCTAGCACGCTAAATGGATTCACTGCATTTTGACCCAACATGCTACATGTACTTTTCTTTCTTCTGGTGGTGTGAACATTTCTGCCGCATTGAAGAGTGACACATGACTCTCTTATCCTGCCGACCATTTGCTGCATGACTTCGGCCTTTTTTTTAAGCTTCTCTTGAATAGCTGGTTCAGACGGCTCTTCTGCTAATTCATGGCGTAGTGCATGAACACTCTTGATAGCTGAAAAAACAAACAAAATCAGTACTTTAGCATTACAACTTGTTTAAATAGTGTTCATGCTAAAAAATATGAACAATCATGATTCATTTAAATATTTAAAGAAACTTGTAAAATGTATAAAAATAAGAAACTGACAAAATGATTAAAAAATGTATAAAAACAAGAAACTGACAAAATGATTAAAAAATGTTTAACCATAGCACTGCTTATAAGAAATGGTATATAAAACTATTGAATTTGTTATCATTAAATAACTACTCCAGTAAAGTTAAGACCTGGTGTATAAAATACTGAATTAACAGTTGTTCTCAATTAATAGCTACTACAGTAAAGGTAAGAACTGGTGTATAAAAATACTGATTTGACATTTGTTCTCAATGAATAGCTACTCCAGTAAAGGTAAGAACTGGTGTATAAAAATACTGAATTGATATTTTTTCTCATTCAATAGCTACTCCAGTAAAGGTAAGAACTGGTGTATAAAAATACTGAATTGACATTTGTTCTCAA